CAGATGCTACGAAAAAGATTTCAGAAGCACAAACAACCGTTGTGCGGAACCAGCTTCGATTGGACACCCTCTCAAAGGCGTTTTCAACTGAGCAAAATGCCCTGGCTGGCAGAATTGAGAAACAGGTCGCGAAATTGATTGAAGACTATTTCAAGTCCCAACCGAAACCGGAACCGGATCCAAAAATCCTAGCTGAAATACGCGGTGCCAACGAGAAGATCCAAGCATTGGAAACTCAACTCGCTCTTCGATCCTCTGAAGGCGTTTCATTGAGAGAACACGTTGTTGGACTGGAATCGTCCATCTCTCAATTGAATCTCAGCGTTGCCATTGGTCCACAAGACGTAATCAATGTACGAGGAGATTTTGATAAGTCCTGAAAATCATCTTCAAGTTACTTATTTACTATATGAATATTTATATTCATCAACTTCATTGTGAATGGAGAAAATTTTGCAATCCATTGCGCTCATGAAGTCATTGTTGAGACTGAAAGGTTTTGATTCAATTTTTAAAATAAAGAATACAGCACTCAGCCAGGCTACAGCTGCAGTGTTTGACACCCTAGTCATCAGGTGTGTTTGCTAAGAAAAATTCACTGGACAAAAACATTTGGGGGCATATTGGAATTTGACAATAATTTTTTCATTTTCTCCTCTACTCCATGATTTTTTTCAGAATTTTTAAAAGGTTCAAACAAATAAATTCTGCCAGATTTTCATGCTGCCAGTGTTGCCATACAACTGAAAAAAGAGTGAAATTGAATTAAAATTCTATGAGATGATTTTTAAAGATTGTGCTAACTCTTGCGATTTTGATAGTGACAAAAACTGAAGATTCCATAGTGATTTTGATTGCGCAAAAGTTTAAATCTTCAACAGCAATTTTGATTTTGATTGTGTGAAAAGTTTTGTAACCAATATTGATTTCGATTGTGCAATTGAACTTTTGATTTCCATTAACAACCCTGCCCTAGTGTAAGGTTGGTATATTTGACAAAAAGTAAGGATTTCAAAGCAATGGATTGCAAACAAGTGTCTTGATGTCTTTTGCACAAGACTGCCTAAAAGCAACTGATGATTTAAACAGAAATAATGCAACAGTTTATAACCTTTGCTAATGTAATTTTTTCCCTGAGGAGTGAATGATCCTTGGAAATCCCAAGGATATTGGAAACTCTTGTGGGAACTCAAGGTCAAACTTGGTCCCATGAAATTCCTGATGGATTAGGGTTATTTCAGAAGCTTTGACAATTCATCTTCCTTCAAATTTGTATGTCTGAATTCCAATATTATCCTATTTGAATTCCTAATTTCCAACAGTCATGATCAAGACAACCATTGCAATTTTAGAACTACAGTACAGTGGCCCCCCGCCTAACAGACCTCCCGTGTTTTATGTAATTGAATTCGTGTAAAGGACTTTTTGCCTAACAGACTCATCCCTTGCACAAATCAAGTCCGTTAGACAGGGGTTGACTGTATAGTGCAGCTTTTTTAGAATAAAAAAAAAAGGAATCATCATGTTTTTCACAAATTTGATACAGATTCTTCTTCTAAGCTATATACAGGCGATATTCAGCCTTCTATCATATATCTGTTAGCATTTAAGCAATTAGTTTTGTTGCATTGTATTCAAGTAATTTTAAATAATTTTATGAATTTCAGTTATGAATTTACAGTTCTTCTTTATAAAAACGCAAGACCATTTTCCCATTTGAGAAAATATAAAAAAAGTTTCTTCAAGTTTCAAAGATTTCCTCCAGGATGTTCTAAAAGATTGGAAGACTTTTGTTCTGTTTTGTCTTATTTTGTCATTCTTTCCTATATATTTCAGCAACAAAACCTCCAAAATCAATGACTATATGCTGCATATTTCTACAGTACAGTAATTGGGAATCAGATTTATTTCCCACTTTCCAAATTTGTCTTTTACATCTACTCGAATCAGCGGAAAAATGTCGGTGACTCGTCGGAAAAACTTGTGCATTCAATTTTCAAAAATGCATAATATAATGTTTACCGTTTTCGTAACATCATTGAAAGTTTCTTCGTTTTTCAAAAGAAACTTTCGGAGTTGAAAACCACAATCCAAAGCGAAACCGGGTCAAAATTTGCATCAATCTCGTCGCAAATTGAACAACTGACAGCATCCAAGGAACTCTTGGAAACTGCACAAGTCCGAGCCAAAACCGATTTGGCGCAGTCTTTGGGGATTGTGGAGGGATTAAAAAGCAAATTGGAAACCCTGGAAAGCACTGTCGGGGCATCTCTGAAATCTGCTGAGCAAACCACAGCCGAGATCCAGAAAAAACTGGCAGATTTCAATCAAGTTTTGTCAAGTCAAATTTCGGAAGTCTCGACATCGGACAAATCCGCCGTGAAAAGAATCGAGGCACTCGAAATTAATCTCGCTGCGGCTCAAACTACTGCCCAAAATTTGGTTGCAAAGAACAGTGAAATCAAGAATTCAATCGACGCCATTTCACTCAAATGGTCTTCAGTTGAAAACCTGGAAAAGTCCAACCAACAATTGGAAGAACGAATCAAAGACTTGCGCGACATCTGGAAATCATCGAATAATGATTTCTCGGATCTGCAGCAAAAGGTTAACATTTTATAAATTGTCATAGGCTCGTATCCACTTTTATCAACTGATCGCACGATATTTATTTAGAATAACTTTCATTAAATTCCATTTGTCCAATCAAGTTAAATATTGAAGTTATTCCGCGTGTACATTTATTCCAATAATGCCGGAATTTTGGGTAATATTTAATTTAAAGCGGAAATAAAAATCATTTAAATTAATACTTAATTGTGTTAGTTCTCAAACTTTTATGCCTTTGATTACATATCTTTTTATCAATTTCTGATTAAAGTAATATTTTCTTATAAAAAATATGTTGACATGGCTCTGCAATACATTTTCAATTTCTATGAGCTCATTCTAATTTAAAAAAAAACATGCACTGCATATTTGGTAAATGTATTCTTTGACATTCAGCTTGTTTAATGCTGTATCCCATACAGTATAGAATTTAGAAGTAGCAGCCTTTGTTAGGCAAGTGCGCCATCATTGATGTATTTTCTCACTTTTTACTAGAGTGTCATCCTCCACCCAAAAAATTAATGGTAAAACCTAATGAAGGTTAACTATTACATGATGAGCTTGTCAGACAAGTAGAGAAGAATATATATGCAGAGAATTATTCCAGTTCAATCCAGTACCTGAAGCAAGAGTCTGCTGAGTACAGTAGTTATTATTCTGCATGAAATACACTTCTTCCTTATAATCCTCCAGCAGCAAAGTTGGCGTATTTTTGCAAAACTTTGTTGCACCTCAGAGAGGTAAAGAAAAAATGACAACAGGGGGTTGAGGGCAAAGTTGGGAGAAATCCCAATGTTTTTTTCCCTGGACACAGAATTTTGCAGGAAAATGAAATAACATGCTCATTTAAGCAACAGGCTTTTCTTGGATTAATCCCAACCTTGCCTCAGCCAACCTGGAAGGGTTTTCCTAACCTTGGAAAAACTGAAAATGCAGGAGGATACAAAAATAATCTGACTTCATCCTTTGATAGGAAAAAACCCTCCGCTGTCCCAGGGTTAAACCCAGAAATTCCAAAAAGGAATGCTAGCCCCTGTTCTGGGCTCATTATTGTCTGTTATTTATGCTCATTTACTCTTTTGATCCAGCTTGAACACTAACTTATACTGAGGCAACATCTGTACCCATCACTAACATCCAATAAGTCTTGAATGTTGTTTTGGGAGTTACTTCCTAAAAAAAGAACTTTTGCTATTTATTTTGAAAAATTTCTTTGTAAGGGTACTTCATTTCTTTTGGTGCAGATCTTCTATGCTTTTTTTTCAGCTGACAAAGCTTGAAGCGCAAATATCAGCTGATCGTGAAGGCTTGAGAAGCCAATTGTATGTCCTGGAGCAAAATATCAAGAGACAGCAGACACAAGATAATGATAATTTGCTCAGAATCGTGGATACAAGCAAAGCCAGTTTTTTGGCTTCCCAAGAATTGACCGACAAACGCTTGGCAATTTTCGAGTCTGACATCAAGCGAATTTCCGACACTGACCTGATCAACTCTAAGACTATCAAGGCTTTAGAAGAGTCTTTCAAGTCTGCGGAATCCCTGAAAACTGATATTCAAGATGTCCTGAAAAGGGTGACACTTTTTGAGCAGTTAGCATCGACGACTCGGGATCAACTGAATGCCTTAGAGGGAACTGTTTCTGGCTCAGTGACAACTTCTCAAAAGGAATTTCAAGACCTGAAAACTGAGTCGAGTCGATTGTCAACAAATTTGGACGGAATCGTCAATCGTTTGCAAAGTCAGACCCAAATCATCGAGTCTCTGAAAACTGAAATTCTTGGGCTGAAGGATGCGACGAATGCTGTTGCTGCTGCTGATGCATTGCAAATCAGTCGAATCGACTCACTCCTAGGTGAACAAGCTCAGAAGATTCAAAATCTGAAAAAGCTGATTGAAACTGACATCAGTAAAATTGAGGCACAAGAAACCCGGCTTTCTAGTTTAGCATCAACGTGTGATTTGTTGAGCAGACGATTGCGAAACCAGGAGCTCGTAAGCGTGTCAAACTGTAAGTATAACTTCTTGATATACATTTTTTTCTGATGCTGTGCTAAAAGTAATTCCTTTTCTTTCACAGGGCCGAAAAATTGCCAGGATTGGAAGAATCGCGGGGCGACATCTTCCGGGATTTACACAATCGACCCAGATGGCTCTGGAGTTGGAGAATCCGCTTTCATGGTTGAATGCAACATGGAAACAGGTTGGTTTTTATTTGAATAGGAAAATTCATCACAATTCATCTTGAATACAGGGCTTGAACATATCCCAAGCAGGGAGCTATTTTTGCTGTGACCCCACAAATGGTGCACACCAGGGTCACAACTGGTGCATATGGGATATTCTGGGGTTACAATTGTGCACTCCTGTAGAGGAAATTTTGCTAACCATTCCAGGGCTACACTTGGTGCACAAATGTGACATAACAGGAGTATCACACAAATGCACCAACTGTGTAACCTTGGTGTAACTTATTTGTTAACAAATGTGACCCTCAGTAATCCTGGTGTGAACACACAATTGGTGCACATTAGGGATATGCATGTGCAACAGAAGGACTTTGGTACACTTCAGGTGCACAGCAGGGTCACTGTGTAGAATTACAAACATATCCCCAGTGTGCACCAATTTCCCCACTTGGGCTGAAATTTTGATTCCTTGAAAATTGTATTTCAGGAGCCACGGTCATTCCACATAATTTGAACCTGGAAAATCAGGTTGCACGTTGCCTGCTGCCAGGCTGCGAGGTCAGAAAGGTCAACTACCAAGTTACAATATCGCAAATCAAGGCTCTTAAGGAAGTGTCAACGTCGTGTCAACAAGAAATTAAGGTAATTTTTGAAATCACTATGAATATTTGGAATTACAACTAAAATTTCAATGCTGTGTGTCATTCAACTAAATTGTAAAACATTTTGACTTCCAAGAAATAAGGCAATGAAAATATATTTAATCTTATATGGGATTTTAAAAACCTGAGGATATGATTTGAAAATTTGATTTATGAGACAGGATACAGGTGACATTCTACCTCTCACAATTTGACCATCCTGCACTTTGAAGGTTGAATTTGCAGGGAGGTTTGACTTAAAATTCAACCTCTGCCCCAGACTTTGACCTGATTATGTCATTTTTTAATTTTTGGTAATGCTTCTCAATTTCAAGAATTGTCTCACAAATTGACTACTTTGCAATTTGACTCTAGTCCAGCAATGGACTATAGGGTCAAATCGCAAGGTACCAGCACATGTACCAACATATATTTTCCATGGAAAATTGGACATTTAAATTAATTATGTAACAACTTTGCACATTTTAATGTCCCAGCCATATGCCATGAAGAGGGTTTTGGAAAAAATTGAAATGATTTCTGTCAAGATATTGTAGAATCAGACTGAATTCCAATGTATCATATTTTGAGAAAAGAACCTCTTCTGCAAAAACTACAATGATTTCTTGTGCAAGATACAGCTGACCCCTGCACAACAGACTTAATTTGCGCAACAGACTGCATGGTCTCTTATTATGTGAAAAGTCTGTTAGGCAAGTTTGATTTTCCTATATGTTTACACTTATGTTACAGCCAAAAGAACTAAAACACAACACACACTCACACATGCATAACAATAATGAAATTTCATATTCCAATGAAGTTGGGAAGCAAGGGGGACCTGAGGTACTCATTTCCACTGCTGGTGGTGGTGGAGTGCACTGCCATACAGATTGAAGTCTGTTACAGCCAATTTTTCTGTTATGCAAGATGAAAAACTGCCTCCAGTGGTGGTCTGTTCTGTAAAAATCTGTCTTGCCAGAGGTCTGTTGTGTGAGGGTTGACTATATATATCTATGCACACTATTTAAAAGGTTTTTTCTAAATACTTTTCTGCAGAGAGTTGGTATTTTGAAATTCAAGCTTCTTACAGCAGACTGATGACCTCAGCCATGTTTCGATTTTAAACCTTTTTTGTACTGTATCATATCATTCATATGTACAGTAATACTTTTATGTCGTTACACATTATGCAGGTCAATTGTTTGGGTGCGACCCTAAGCGCAGCTTCAGGAACACAAAACGCATGGTGGGTAGGCATAGATGGCAGCACAAGGAATTACAATTGGCACAGGTCAGCGACAGGAGAATCAGCACATTTCTGCGCCTGCCAAGAAACAAGGACTTGTCAAGACCCGGCTTTGACGTGCAATTGTGACTCTTCAAGTAACGTCCGGCTGAGTGACGTGGGATCCATCGATGACATTTCGAAGCTGCCAATTACGGAATTGCATTTTGGCGGGGTCTCGGAAATCGGCAATCAGATGATGAGCTACACTCTGGGAAACTTTTTTTGCACAGGGAAAAAGGTGAAGTTTGTTGTACAGTATCTCCAAAACTACTGTACCATGCAAACGGAATGCAACCAAATTTCTTCACATTACTGATGTTTTACTGTTTTGTAAAGTTCGTATACTGATGTTATTTGGTGCAGTTCAAAATAGCAAAAGCGCCGAGGACAGTTTAAAACAGAACACTGAAATTGCATCACAAATTTGACATTCATGAATTGAGGAAGTACTGTATACGGGGTCTCTATTTATAATGAAAGGCCCACGCAACAGCAAAAAATTGCAAAACAAAATTTTGTGTTAGGAAAAACCGACACACATCAGGAAATTGTTTCACGCGCCAAAATTAGCTTTCACAAAAAATCCATTCATTCCAGGAAATTCCAAGGAAAAAATTGTCTATGTTTTTAATGCTGAAAATATGTTTAAAAGGTGAAGTTCTAGTCCTATAAAACATCTTGGGGCTTGCTCATACTGTCAGTTTTAGTCAAGGCTTACAATAAATATTAATCATAAGCTTGCAATTACACCCTGAAATGAGTTTCTTACAAGACAGTTTTTGAAAGCAATTGCACATTATTTTGTGAGTGTTTTAAATATGCAGTATTAAATATTTTCAAAGCACAACTAGCAACAAAAAATCATATTTGCCCAACAAAGGTCAATTTGGAAGAATTAATTCATCTATAGAGAGGGACGAACTGCACTTTATTTTTTATTTTTTCACTCATGACTCAAGGAAGTTATTTTATTATTCTTTTTATTCTGTCTCATTCTAGAAGTTTGACAGAGTTTGCAAAAAAAAAGTTGATATAATGCGTTTTCTGGTGTGTGTCTCTTCAAAAAATCTATGCCATCATGTATACATTTTCTTCTAGAGCTTTTTTCAAGTGCCTGCATAAAATCAAGGCTGTTCCAACAATACTATATGACATCAACTTGGAACCTACCGTCTCCCAAGGAAAGGTAACGTACCGTCTCAAACCTATGAAAACCCCCACGTCATGTAAGGTCAAACTGGGTTTCAATGAACTTTACGAGGCTTGTTGAGAAGGCCCAAGTGGAGAAAAATCTGGGAGGCAAATTTTTTTATTGTTTTCAAGAATTTTTCATGCTATTCCCATCATGCCAGGAATGCAGGAAAAAGCACAACCCAGTTCAGGATTTTTAAAACTTTTCATTCAAAATTTTCTGCAGGATTAGACAGAAATGTCAGATATTTTCTTAATGGGTCTTCCCATGGAAGCACAATTTTTTTTAAATATCCAGTGCTCAGTGGCACCACAATTTGCAAAATTACCCCAACTTTGTCACACAAGGGTTAAATACTCATCTATTTCCATTCCAAGGATCCAATATCAACAACAAGTACCTGTAAGGACCTGTTTGCAGCCGGGAACCAAGCATCTGGGATGCACTGGATCGACGGGCCGCCTGGCAGCGAAAAAGTCGAACTCGTCGTTTGCAAAATGGCGGGTCAGACCGTCGCTCAGTCGCCCCCATTGCTGAGTCTGGTTCGCAACGCCCTCACGTTCAATTGCCGACGCATGCATTCTTACGCCAAGGCCAAGACTGTCATCCCGTTCGACAGTGTCGTCACCAACCACCCGGATTCTGTGCACAAAGAGGCTGGCACTGTCACCGTGCGAACCCCTGGCGTGTACTACGTCAGGCTCACAGTAGATACCTACGGGATCCTCTCCACGTTGGTGTGCATTAGGAAAAATGGAGTGAACGAGGCATGCGTGAGTAATATTGAGTTCTTTACACATCAGTACTGTATTTCTGTGCCAAATAAATGAATGAATGAACAGAACACTTTATTTGCTGCTTTTCAGCATTCACAAGGTTCAATCAAGATTTCCATAACCAAACCCCCCTTCCCACCCAACCCAAATCCACTCAATGACATTTTAACCCTCAGACAGCGGAGGGTTCTTTCCCATAGCGGGACAGAGTCAGATTATTTTCGTATTCCCCGCATTTTCAGTCTTGGGAAGGTCACAAAAACCCTTCCAGGTGGGCTGAGGCAAAGTCGGGATTAATCCAAAGAAAGCCAGTAGCCTAACTGAGAGTTGTTTTTTTTTTGCCAACAAAATTTTTCTGCTAGGAGGGAAAAAAACGCCAGGATTATTCCTGACTTTGCCCTTGGCTCCCTGTCCTCATTTTTTTCTTTACCTCACTGAGGTGGTACAAAATTTCGCAAAAATAGTCCAACTTAGCCGTCCAAGGGTTAATCACTTCAGAGCAGGAAAGCACAAATTGCTAACAAAAAAAGAAAATACAATACAACATGAAATACAACTGGACATCTGACATGTATGCATACACCCATTCATTCTCTCTGACATAGGTAACAAAATATATGTAAAAATTAATTTAAAGCACAAGGTCTTCAGCTTGTTTCTGTATGAGATTTAGTTGAATGAACAAATTACAGAGAATCTTTGATGATAAATCATATAAAGCCAACAATTTATCTTGATCCTTTAAGATTTCAAAAAGGGTCTCTTCATTGAATTCTTGTACTTGTTACTTGTAAATCTATCTTGAGCTTGTTTCTATCAGTATGAAATTCTGGACATAAGAAGAGAAGGTGCTCTGGTGATGCGCAAACTAATGTATTTATGCTGCAGGTGTTACACCACTTAGACACTTTTGAAAATTGGATAAATTTTTTACTTAAGTGCCATGAATTTGTCAAAATAGCTGTGCTGAAGGAATTCAATTCACTGGCCAGAAAGATTGAGAGAATGATGCTGTTTGGTGCTTTGCAAAGATCAAAGCTCCTCATTTTTTGATAATAATGTAGGTGTCACTCTTAACTGAACTGTGTAAATGTGTTCCTCATTTTTGACTCTCTTTCTCACAGCAAGGGGAATGTGTAGACTCTGAATTTTTCTAAATTAAAGTAAAATTTCAGGAAAAGCTTGCATGTCTACAATGTTTGGGGGTTTTTCAAGTAGTGAATGAGTTATGCAAAGTCAAGATACAGTAGTATTACAGTATTTCGCGTTTCGCAACTTATTATTGTGTTCATTCTCGGCAATAAATTGGATGCGAATCTTCTTCACCTATAGGAACGCTAAGAATAGACTCAAGTCATGGAGTGATTTCTTTCCCGAAGAAAAGGTGAAATAATTAAATCTGTGTGATTGTGAATCATTTCAGGTATTTGGTAAAGATGATGGAGGTCAAAGCCAAGGAACAATACTTTTTTGCCAGGCCAATGATGTTCTGGACTCATACTTGGTCCATGGAGCAATCGCGGAATCTTCGCAGCAATTCTTCACACAATTCTCCGGATTCCTTCTCTGGGCATCTTAATTATGCTGTCTTTGCCGTGGCAACGTATGAATAAAGAACATTGTCTGATGTTTTGAAGCGCATTGATTTGGTGTGTTGAAAATTTAATTCAGTTTGGTACTATACAGATGGATGGAAATGACAAATACAATTGATCAATTCATGGATTGTTGAAGCGATTTCTGGATCCCCTTAGTCACGAATTTTGGCGTAATGACACAATTTTCCGCTCTGATGTAATATACATCACAGTACTGTACTTGGAAAGAATCGAAGTTATATGCTGCATTTTGGACGAAAATCGTCTCATTGCCAGGAAATGCATGAACTTCATACTTGATGGTGTTTTTTCATTGTCGTTGATTTTTCGAGGTCCAGAAGTAGATTGTGGAAAGATGGCTTAGAAATGAAATTTCAAGAAAACGTGAATATCGATTTACATCAGGCGTTGATTTCAGCAAAATGTCTGTCCATAAAAAAGTCATTTTAAACTAAAATTTCATTCCAATATGTTCTCAAAGATAATCTTGTATCTGAATTCCTGGGATTGGGTTTAAAATACATTTAACCCCAGCACAACAAACTAAATCCATTTAACAGACTTCTGTTGGTTTCAAATTAATGGTAAAAACCCCTATTTTTTTAATAATTGAATTTGTATAACAGAATTTTCACACCATAGAATAGTCTGTGGCATAATTCAAGTCCATTGTGTTGGGTTGAATGTATACTGCATTGAATATTGCATAAATTCTGCAGTCAAATCAAGCATTTTCTGATCTCTGAGGATGCAAAGCAAAACTCACAAATTTGACAGGAATTGACAATTTTTCTTAACCTTGCAAGGTTTCCTCTGAAAATCAGTCCTATCATTCTCAATATTTTGGAAATTTTGTGAAGAGGAACTGTGTGAGTGCTGCTCATGTATTCATTGACAAATGTGTCACAATTGTCCAGGACCACAAGAGGTTGCCCAATAACACAACCAACCACCAATGCCACAAACACCAAAACCATCAACATCCAACAACACTGCAATATTCACCCAACTCACTGACCATGGAAAACCTAGTCCAGCAAAATCTGGATTTCAGCGCTGCTCCAGGAACTCCCCAGCACCTAAGAAACTTCAATATGTTTGTGAATCTTGCTGCATAACCATCTTGAGTGAACCTTTCTTTGATCTGAAAGTGAAATCAGTTGTTATTTGTGTTGTTCAAAATTACACCATTCGAGGAGACTCTGTCTCAGCCCACAAACAGCCTAGTGTGCATTTGTGTTTATTTCCATCTCAATTTCTTTGTCACAGACCTTTGGGTCCCTGACCATGATTGTTGGAAAATGCGGTTCAAGTTACAGGTGGTACCTTACAATTTGACCTCCCACAATTTGAGAATCCCATAATTTGACAGTCAAATTTGCATGGAGGTTGACTTGCAATTTGACCCTTTCCCTACAATATGACCTGCTTTGGCCAATTTTTTTCAGGTTTTTTTAACTGATATTCTTTTCATTTAAGAAAGTGTCTTGCAATTTGACCCTATTTTGGCAACTGATTAGGGCTGAATTGTGAGGTAAAACCTGCAGTATTTTGCCTTAACTTGATTGAAAGCAAAAATAAATTGAATAGCAATACAATACAGTATGACGACTTGCAGAAAACAAAAATTCAAGATCATTATAAAAATTATTTTTGTATCATAGGCATAGAATATATAAATAAAATTTCCGTTTGCTTTTGCTATTCGATGAATTTCAGCAAAGGTGTAGCCACATTGCGGCCAACAGAAACGTGCCTCCCCATCAGTTGCTGCTGAGTCAAGACTTGCCGAAAAATAAAACGGACAAAAACCAGAGAGAAAATAACTCGGATTTTTTTTCCGAAGTCCTGGGCCAATTGTGTTGAAATCAATCTCTTTTTCCTTCCCCTGTGCTGTACGTGTTCTATGCAAAATCAGCAGAGAGGAAAGCAGGCTAAAAAAGCCAACGGCGAGTCAGATTATTGCGGCAAAGTGGAAGAAACGTTCAGGAATACATGCGCTTCAGCTTGACTGGCTCTGAATTCCTGTCGGCATCTTTTGCGAACTCTCACCCCCAATGAGGGTGCCAAAAAAAAAAAGAAAAAAAAGACGAAGAAGGAAACCCGCGCGGGACAATAAGGAAGGTGATCAGGGTGTGCAAAAGAGGCTTGCAGCATTTCTTCTTTTCAATTTTCTCTCAAGTTGTTTTTCTTTTATTCATTTATTTTATATTTTTTCAGTTGTGAGGACGACCAGGGCTTGCGCGGGTTTCACACAAGCCGCTGCCGCACCGGGGTTTGCCTGGGAACAGTCATGTGGAAACAAGCCCATTTAGTAGGCTTTAACCCCCCTTATACATGCCATTGATACATTTCCGTCAAAATTGCCCTGAGAAAGTTTTTTTCTTTTCCTTTTTGCATCACAGCCCACAGCGACAAACGTTTTCCTAACTATGTTGAATGAAGAAAACAAATTTTTTAAAGCAAAAGACTCTATTTTGGGATCAGGGTTTGGAAGAGCGTGTTGCGGAAATGATTGTTGCAGACCTGCGCAGAACTAGATGTCGCTTCCGGTCTTGCGCAGACATATAAGCGCTTTGGCTCCAATAATGGGATTTGTGAGTTAGGTTTACACGAAAGGAGGCGAAATTTGAAAATAAAACACAGAATCAGCTGTGGGGTGCAGCTGTGGAATTATTTTATGAATTCCCAAAAAAAACAATAAAATGTATTTCAAATTTTAACCCCAAGAAATTCACACACTTCTTTGCATAAAACACAATGGATAAAAAGACAACATTCACAATCATACACACAGCAACACAAATAATTTTACCACGTTTTTATGAACTCACTTTCTTGTCTGCCGCTTGAATTTCATCCAGTGAATATATTTTCAACTCATATGAGAACATTTGGAGCATTGAATAGTGTACCTCAGTACAATACATTTAAATTGTGGCATCTGTGAAAATAACATTCAAGTCACAAAGAGACAAGGAAGTCCCTCTATGCAATAGGTAATTTTTTTATTAGNCACCACGTTTAAGGTTATTTTTTGCTTTTTGAAAACGTGGTTTTTTAGATTAATTTTTTAATCTACCATAATTTTAGTATGTTCTTCTACAGCAACACAAATAATTTTTAGTATGTTCTTCTGCACACCTGATTTTTTAAAACCCTTGAAGGGTACAGATTAAAATCTCTAGTATTCAATTAATATGGCTGCTATCTAACAGCAGTCAGTGTACAGGTACAGCAGTACATTAAGGTACCAAATTATTCTGTCAATTGTGTGTCCCTTGTGCATTTGATCTTTTTTTTACATCTGCAATAGAGCACAGATACAATTTTCTTCAGACCAACTGGAATACTGACAGCCCCTGTCTAATGGACTTAATTTGTGCAACAGACAAGTCTGTTAAGCAAAAATTTCCTTAGACAAATTAAATTATGTAAAAAATTAAAAATTTCAATTGTCAACAATGATTTTAAACCAAAAGATGTGTGTTTGGCAGATTTTGTCTGTTTGGCGGGAGGGAGAACTGCCTGCAGAGCTGGCCTCTTGGGCAAAAGTCCTTCAGGTGGGAGATATGTTTGGCAGGGGGGGGGGGGCACTGTAATGGAAAGAATTAAAAAAACCACTACTCCACTTTCACACACATAATTTGCATACATTACATACTTGCATGAGGAGACTTTCATCACATTTATTGTGATTTTGTGTCTGCTCGTTTTTTGTGCATACATTCTGGGTTTGAACCTATTGTTGAATTTTTGCACTTCTCGATGTTTGCTGTTCCTTTTCAATCTTTGGCTAATATTTTCCATTGAATTTTCTTCAGCATACAAATATGCATGAATTCCAGTAATTTATGTTTAATGTGTCCCTTTTGTGCTCAAGGATCACAAAAAGAATAAAAACACAAGCTACCAGCCTTTTCAGGCCAAGAACACATATTCAAGGGGTCATCTTGAATATATGTTCCTATTTTTCTATAATGTTTAATAAATATTTTCAGCAGAGTCAAATAAAATCAATAATTCAAAAGAACAAACCCAATCAAATCACACAACAGATTTAAATCACAAGATTAGATCAGCACGTACATGAAAATCACAGATTTATGCACAAATCAGGAAAAAGGGCAAAGATTATCCTTTGAGTTCAGGACAGACTGCTTATAAATTTGAAATACGAAGAGCTTTTATTATTTTCTTGAAATTATCTGGTCCGGTGATCTGGCCATAATATTTCAGGATATTTTTTCATACTCCCTGGCCTCTGATTGGCAAGAATAAGAAAATTGAAGAAATTTTGCTATGTATTGTCCATTGATGCACAAGGAAACTTTCATTGTTTTCATCTTCTTGTTTCTCCCCAACACCTTCAGCCCTTCGATGGTGTGCACAAGTTCTTTATCATCTTTCAGCAGAGCCAAGATCATTACTTTTATCATGCAGGCACATTTTAGTTCAACAAAATGTCAACAAAACCCAACTTCTGCTGCATATAGTCAAGTCTGAAATTTTCTGGGATGACTTTACTCAATTGTTTTAAAATTTCTACAATAATAATATCCTATGGTAGAAATGCAAAAACTGCCACCCATACTGAGGAATTTTTTGCAACAAACATTTTCTTTGCAAAACAGAAATGTGAGACTTCTCCTTGAATTTGACTGTGTTGATCCATCACGGGAAAATATACTCAAGGTTTTTGAAATTCATGTGGGTGATGAGGGAATAATTTGNTATCTGGTCCGGTGATCTGGCCATAATATTTCAGGATATTTTTTCATACTCCCTGGCCTCTGATTGGCAAGAATAAGAAAATTGAAGAAATTTTGCTATGTATTGTCCATTGATGCACAAGGAAACTTTCATTGATTTCATCTTCTTGTTTCTCCCCAACACCTTCAGCCCTTCGATGGAGGGCACAAGTTCTTTATCATCTTTCAGCAGAGCCAAGATCATTACTTTTATCATGCAGGCACATTTTAGTTCAAGAAAATGTCAACAAAACCCAACTTCTGCTGCATATAGTCAAGTCTGACATTTTCTGGGAGGACTTTACTCAATTGTTTTAAAACTTATACAGTATTAATATCCTATTGTAGAAATGCAAAAACTGCCACCCACTGAGGAATTTCAACGTTGTTTGTAAAAGAAACGTTTTGTCTTTACACTCTGAAGAGGAACTTAAACTGACACAACTAGGTAGTGCCCTTTTATATGAGTTCCAAAAACTTTAAGTACACCCACTACTCCCTTATTAAACGCAAAGGTTTCCTTGACTCTATACTGTAGTTGTACACAATTACGAATAAGTACGTGTGTACATGACTTACGGCATTAAAAAGTTGCAAAGGTAAAATTAAATGCTTATGGACGTGTTAAGCTCACT